TGCTTTCAATTAATTTGTGTCAGTTAGGGCTACAGCTCAAAAAGTGACTGTCAGACTTCAAGCAAAACAGTGTGAGATGTTGAGGAACGGTTGCTCTCACAGACACTCTCTGAGAAGCCACCAATAGTCCTGTTCTCTTGCCAGTCCTAGTTGGTATTCTGCCATGATGGATGATCCCCTTGTTATCTTGACGCCGCGCTCCCTCATGTTGAAACTGTTTACGGGAAACAAACATCATGTGAGGAGAAGATTGCCAGACAGTAAGTAAATCATCATAAAGGGGAATGAGTCAAGCGTTGCCAACCATTCCCCTCATTGTCATTGCTATGATGTCAGGCATTGCCTGTGCCCAACGCTGTATCCAAATTTGGGCACAACAAGCCCTTTGCTTTGATCAGCTTGCTGAATGGAACTCCTCTGTCTTATAACACACGGACGCAAGTGAATGAGAAGAACACTGGAATAATGGGAGATTAAAAAGGTGTGCGGCAATTATATACAAACCATACGTCTTAGTCCTTGGACACCATTATACAACTCTTCTAATCTCCGCTAAGCCCTGTAATAAATGATTCCTAAACATTTGGTATGCATGAAGGCTTATGGAAGAATAATCTCATCAGGACTGTTCATAAACACACACGCACATAGGCACACAGACACCCACACCACCAGGACACAGGCTTTATCTTTGTTTATTCCATCCTTTAGTTCAAATGCTTATTACGAACTGTTATATTCCAAGAAGCTGACCGTGGAAGGCAGACAAGCTCTTTAGATAAAACCGAATAGGCAAGTTTCCTAACCGAGGAGCAGATGTATTTTTGGGTTTTGCCCTTGTACATATTTAGCCAGGCTCTTGAAGTGGCAAAGATTTGCATGTTTGTTTTGCAATACTAATGAATATGTTTTTGATTTACATTTTAGAAAATGGAAACTTTTATCTTCTTGGGGCTTTGTAACGTTAATGATTTCCAGATGATCCCAGAGTGTCCTCTTTTAACCCTTCAACATTAAAAACATATCACTTTCTTGAGGCCCAGAGATCTTGCGGCAAAGGCTTTTTTTCTTTTTCTTCAACCAGACCCGGGAGATATATGTGACTCTGTTTATTGTTTATTTCTGGAATGAAATGAAATGAAATGTGGGGACTTTAAAAACTTTTCAATCAAGTGAAAACATATGTAAATGACAAATGATGTTTAAGTTGCTTGTGAGGGGAATTCTGGGGAACATATCACTACACAGACAGAGATTCATGACACACTTCAATGAAGATACACAGATACCCAAAGAGAGGTTTTTAGGGAAATGTGAGCTAGTTTAGCACAGAGGCAAAGAGCATGAGAATAAATGGACAATTCTTCCAATGGAGGGAGGCAGAAAGTAGACTTCTCCAAAGATCAGTATTGATACCTCTGCTTTATAACTTGTGTTAAGTTGTGGGTTGACATAGCAGACGACACAGCGATTTCTCCAAAGCAGCTCATTATTTTGTAAGCTGGAACAGAACTGAGCAGCAAACAGCTCAGCCGGCCTGCTTTTATAGGCAGCCGCCTGTCAACATTGTAGCAACAACAACCCAGGGTTTCCCGCCTAAAATAACTGACGTGGACCTGAGTGAAAACTATCTACAGTATCCCCCTGCTGGCCCAGGGTGAGAACTTCAGTACATAACACCCCTCCCCACCGAGATAAGGCGTTAGTTACAATCGTAATGGTTTCCTTATATACAGCACTACACGTAATGGTTCAATTAGGCACAAAAGCATATCGGTTACATTTCCCATACTTAGACCAACAGTGATACATGTCCAACAACATAGTCCTTTAAATAAGTTGGGCGCTTGGAAACTCTGTCAGACCGCCGGGGACTGGTAGCCAAGTCCGGGGGGCCACCCAATTCTTGCTGAGGCTGTGGTGCGACCCTAGGTGGCGTTGAAACCAAATCCCCTGGATCCGCTGCTGCAGGTGGAGCCTCCGCAAGTGGAGTGGTATGAGTCTGTGGTAAGTCTGGCAGACCCTCTGAGCGGCTTGTTTCGGCTCCACGCTGGCAGTTTGCGAGGGAGGTGTAGGTGGGGCCTCGCCATCTGTAAGTGTCTCTTCTGGACCCACAAGCGCAGTTGGGGGCACCACGGTAGTGTCCAAGTCCCCAACCCTGCGTCTAAGCTGGTCTATGTGCTGGTGCCACAAGCATCCATCTTCGAGTGCCACCTGGTACGAGCGAGGTCCAGTGACTCCCACTACTGTGGCTGGCACCCAAGGAATGTCCCCCACATAGTTCCGGGCAAAGACCTGGTTTCCTGGAACAAATGACCGTGGCGCGTTGGCACAGCCTGGGGGTTCGGCCACAGCAAAGTCCGGGTGCAGCCGGTCGAGCGGTGACCTGAGGCGGCGGCCCATAAGCAGTTCAGCAGGACTCCGCCCTGTGGTCGCATGAGGGGTGATGTGTTGCACGAACAAGTATTTGGCGACCCGCTCGTGCCAGTCTCCCCGGTCCAGGCGCGCCAGTGCCTCTTTTGCCGAGCGCACCATTCTCTCCGCTTGCCCGTTGCTGGATGGATGAAAGGGTGCCGTTAGGGCATGGCGGATGCCCAGTCCCAAAAGATACCGCTCAAAAGTGCCTGACGTGAACTGCGGTCCGTTGTCGGAGACAAGGACATCAGGACACCCATGCGTCGCAAACAGTCCTCGCAGCACCCGGATGACGGCCTCGGTAGTGGTGGAAGGCATCAGGGCCACCTCCAGCCATTTGGAATAGGCGTCCACCACTACCATAAAGGTCCGGCTGTGAAAGGGGCCAGCCAGATCGATGTGCACCCTCGACCAGGGTGTCTTGGGCATCTCCCAGGTGTGTCCCTTAGGTGGTGCAGGCCTCAATTCTTGGCATGCTTGACAGGCAGACACCCAGGCAGTGATGCCATCGTCCATGTTAGGCCACCAGACGTAACACCGAGTCAACGCCTTCATTTTGACAATTCCCGGGTGGCCAACGTGCAGAGCCTCCAGGACGTGTTGACGGAGTCTTTGGGGAATCACGACGCGGTCTCCCCACAGCAGACAGCCGCGATGAGCCGAGAGTTCATGTTGTCTGGTTGCGAAGGGCTGGAACTCCGATGCAAAAGGCCCTTGTGGCCACCCCCTCCACACCCAGTTGAGCACACGGCTGATGGTGCGATCCTGGGCAGATGCGGAGGCCACAGTGGCAGCCGATACAGGCGCTGCCGGAAGATCCTCAATCAGGAGGAGCGATGAAGCTGGAGCCGGGTCTTCCACAAACGCTGGAAGAGGGCAACGGCTGAGGGCGTCGGCATGGCCCATCGATTTCCCCGGGCGATGGACGAGCCGGTAGTGGTAGGCAGCCAGGAAAACAGTCCATTGCAGCATGCGTGGCGAGAGGACCGGTGGAGTTGGACGATCACCAGCGAGGAGGCCCAGGAGCGGCTTGTGGTCAGTGATGAGGTCAAAAGTCCTGCCATAGAGGTATTCATGGAACCTCTTCACTCCAGCCACAAGTGCCAGTGCCTCCTTGTCGAGCTGGCTGTAATTCCGTTCCGTCGGAGATAGCGTCCTGGAAAAGTAGGCGAGCGGTGCTTCTCTTCCGTCTGGAAAACGGTGACTAAGGACAGCGCCGATGCCAAAAGGTGAGGCGTCGCAGGCAAGGACCAGCGGCCTGGATTCACTGTACTGTACCAGCACACAGTCCGATGAAAGGAGAGCCTTGGCCGCGTTGAAGGCCGCCGTCTCCCGATGACCCCAGGACCAAGGCGTCTTTGTGCTGAGGAGTCGGTGAAGAGGCTCAGCCACCGTGGCTTTGTGGGGCAGGAACATGTTATAAAAGTTCAGCAGCCCCAGGAACGCCTGCAACTCCGTCTTGTTCTTTGGGATGGGGGCCTGCTGGATAGCGCGGATCTTGGATGTGGTCGGGTGAAGGCCGGAGGCGTCGATAAGATAGCCCAGGAACTCTACCTGTGGAACGGCGATCTGGCACTTCTCCCTCTTTACCTTGAGCCCGGCCTCTTGGAACCTGGTCAGCACGGCACGGAGGCTCTCGAACAGCTGCTGGTGTGAGTCTGCGGACACCAAGACGTCATCAAATATGGTACCACGCCCGGAAGCCCTTGCAGGAGACGCTCCATAAGGCTTTGGAAGATGCCAGGAGCCACACTCACCCCGAACTGCAACCGGCGGCAACGGAATGCCCCTCGGTGGGTGACAATCGTCTGGGCTTCAGCAGTGGCATCATCGACGGGCAGTTGTTGATAGGCTTGGGTGAGGTCCAGCTTAGCGAAGACCTTACCCTCACCCAGGGAATGCAGCAGGTGTTGGACAACAGGAACCGGATAAGCGTGCTGCTGAAGTGCCTTGTTGATCGTGCACTTGTAGTCAGTGCAGATTCTCACCGGCCCGTCTGGCTTGACAGGCATGACGGATGGGGGTTTCCCACTTGGCATGGTCAACCGGCTCCAAAACTCCTTGGGCGATCAGCTTGTCCAGTTGTTCGTCCACCTTAGCCTTGAGAGCAAAGGGAACCCGGCGTGGCTTTAGCTTGATGGGGGCGACTTGTGGATCAAGGCTAAAGGAGATGGGCGTACCTGTATATTGCCCCAAAGTGCCGTCAAAAACCTCGGCAAAGTCTTTGACCAGACCCTCAGTCTCTGTGTTAGAGATGCAGTTGATGCCGGTGCAGTTGATGCCGGTGACTTCCAGGCCGAGGGCATCAAACCAGTCTAGCCCTAGGAGGCTTGGCTGCTGACCTTCGACCACCACCAACTGGAGCAGGCCTGAAAAATCCTTGAAGGCGATCCGGAACCGGCCAACGCCTACCACGGGAATGTCGTTTCCCTGGTAGTCTCTCAGGTGTACGCGGTGAGAGTCGAGTTGCCTTTTGGACACTCTGGGTACCAGTCTTTTGATGGTGCTCCAAGACACGATGGACAGGGCAGACCCGGTGTCGATCTCCATGTCACATGGAGCTCCTTCAATGAGCACCGTGACGTTCAGCTTGCATCGCGTAGGTGAGTCGGTCGCGTAGGTGAGTCGGTTTGGCCAATCGTGGTTCCATACGGACAGCGGCAGTTGGTGAGAGTGAAACAGCTTTCCTTGGCAGACTGGAGTGAAGACTTGGACTTGCGAGTCGGTGAAGGGGGGGTGTCAGATGGAGCCGATCGGCAGACCTTAGCGATGTGGCCCCTTCTGGAACACTTCCTACAGATGGCGTCTCTGAATCGACACTTGGCACGGGAATGGTTGCCTCCGCAGCCGGCACATTCCGATTGGCCCTTGGACTTCTGTTGGAACTTCCTGCGCTCCCGCTTTGTCTGGTGCATCAGGGCATCGTCTAAGTCTCGGAACTCGCAGTGCATTGCAGCCTGTCTGAGGGCAGTGGTGTAGTTGCTGATTGACTCCCCCTCTGCCTGGTTCCGGTGGTAAAACACATGGCGGGCAGCAATCTTGGACGGCTTTGGCGCGTAGTGGTTGCGGAGCTTCTCTTGGATTGTGTCCCATGGTGTTGCCTGGACTGCTTCAGGCGCAACCAATGCTCGGGCCGTCTCAAACACCTCAGGCCCACAGAGGCTGAGGAATAGGCCCCGCTTCCGTTCATTTGATACTGATGTCAGCTCGTTGGCTTGGAGGTAGCAGTCGAACCGAGCGAGGTAGGAGTCCCACGATTCAGAGGGTGGCGCAAACGGCGGTAGAGGCACAAGTGAAGCCATGATTCCGATGCTGGCGTGAAGGGTGATGGATGGAACACAGTGCTCTAGCCAGAACAGTCAGCTCTGAATTGGTTCTGTCCAGTGATTTCGCCCAGTGATTTCGCTCTGTGATTCAGCTCAGTGATTCAGCTCAGTTCAGAGGCTGGCCGCATCTGGCTGTGCTCTGATGTCCATCGATCCCATCCTCGTCGCCAGTGTTAAGTTGTGGGTTGACATAGCAGACGACACAGCGATTTCTCCAAAGCAGCTCTTTATTTTGTAAGCTGGAACAGAACTGAGCAGCAAACAGCTCAGCCGGCCTGCTTTTATAGGCAGCCGTCTGTCAACATTGTAGCAACAACAACCCAGGGTTTCCCGCCTAAAATAACTGACGTGGACCTGAGTGAAAACTATCTACAGTATCCCCCTGCTGGCCCAGGGTGAGAACTTCAGTACATAACACCTTGTTTATAAAAGATCTAGAGTTAGGAGTGAGCAGAGGTGGCCAAGTTTGCTGATGAAACTAAGTTGTTCAGGTTTGCTAAAATAAAAAATGGATTGTGAAGAGCTCTAAAAGGACCTCTCCAAACTGCCTGAATGGACCCTAAAATGGCAAATGTAATTCAATGTAAATGAGTGCAAAGTGATGCATGTCAGGTCAAGAAATCTTAATTTCACATATATGTTCATGGGGTCTGAAATGGCAATGATGACTTGACCAGGAGTGACACTTTGGCATTGTAGTGGATAGCTTTATGAAGATGTTGACTCAGTGTGAGGTGGCTGCGAAAGAAGCAAATCCCATGCAAAGGATTGAAAATAAAACTGCCAGTATCATAATGCTGTTATACAAATCTATGGTGCAACTGAATTTGGAATGCTGTGTGCAGTTCTGATCACCTCACTTCAAAAAGGATATTGTGCAATCGGAAAAGGTTCAGGAAAGGGCAACCAAAATGATTAAGGAGATGCAGGAACTCCTCAATGAGGAAAGGTGAATAAGAGGCAATGTGACACATAGGTTGGAGAAAGTGTATAGAGAAAGTTTTTTTCTCCCTGTCTCTTAATATTAGAGTTCATGAACATCCAAAGAAGTGGAATGTTGGAAGATTTAGGACAGACCTAACTATGGAACTCCACAGGATGCAGCAATACTTGCCAACTTGGATGGCTTTAAAAGTCTGTTAGACAGATTCATAGAGGTGAAGGCTATCAATAGTTACTAGTCATGATGGCTATGCTCTGGCTCCACAGTTGGAGGCAGCGATCCCTCTGAATACCAGTTCCTGGAAACCACAGGGAAGAGATTGTTCTGGTGGTCAGGTCCTGCTTGCGTGCTTTCCCCTGAGTCTCTGGTTGGCCACTGTGAAAACAGGGATCAGATGGGATGCTGGTTTGATCCAGCAGGCTCTGCTTATGTTCTTATGAGCTGGGAAGTCCTGGTAAAAGGTAAAGGGGACCCCTGACCGTTAGGTCCAGTCATGGACGACTCTGGGGTTGCGGCGCTCATCTCGCTTTACTGGCCGAGGGAGCCGGCGTACAGCTTCTGGGTCATGTGGCCAGCATGACTAAGCCGCTTCTGGTGAACCAGAGCAGCGCACGGAAATGCCGTTTATCTTCCCACCAGAGTGGTACCTATTTATCTACTTGCACTTTGACGTGCTTCTGAACTGCTAAGTTGGCAGGAGCAGGGACCAAGCAACAGGAGCTCACCCCATCACAGGGATTCGAACCGCTGACCTTCCAATTGGCAAGCCCTAGGCTCAATGGTTTAGACCACAGCGCCACCCACGTCCCTGGGAAGTCCTGGTATCTCACCTCATAGATGTGTAGGTACCCTTAGACAAAAGAGTCTCTTTTTTTAAACATTTGCTTGAGCTGTAGAAGTAGAATACTCATACTATCTTATTTCAAAGGACTGAAATATAGCCATTACTGGATTATATAAATTATAAAGGTTAGTGGAATAATTTATGTTGCAACAGTCTACATCAGAGATGGGGAACCTGTGGCCCTCTTGATGTTGCAAGACTACAACTCCCATCTTCCCTGACTGTTGGCCTTGCTGAATGGGGATGATGGGAGTTGGAGTCTAACAACATCTAGAAGGCCACCCCTGATTTGGTTTTAATGGTAAGTTGAGTTTTATTTTAACACAACCTCTGGTTTCCCCTCACCCGTATCCCCATGAAGTATCTTGAAATAAAAAAAGCCCGAGGCTGATTGATTTGGTATTAGCTTAGGATTTGTCTAACTTGTTTGGGTCAATGCCATAGATTTTGTTAGGAAATAACAAAATAGAGTCTGTTTGGCTGGTGACAGATGGGCTTCCAAAGCATTACTTCCCTGCTCTCAAGAAACCCCATAGCTCTGAGGTGCCTTGAGCTTCAAAGCCAGGGAGATCACAAAGAAGCTCTTTGCTGTTCTTCACAGCCTTGATTATTGATTTATCCATTCTACTGAATTGTAGGGATTGATGCCTCTGCTCTTTTATTTTTGTAAATTACAAAAAGCACTCTTTTAGTTATTTTATCGTTTGCTGATCTGAGGTTGTTTTTTTAATTAATTGAGAGTGGCATAGAAATGTTTTAAAACAGACAAGTAAATAAATAAAAGCGGCCAGCTTATGTTCAAAATACTGAGTGAGTTTTATAACTTAGCATTTTTATGAAATTATCCAAGCTGTGGGTCTTATCAGGTGTACGGCAAACAGATGAGCTCAGCAGCTAAACAGCTGGTTCTGCGGTAGGTAGGTATACATTACCACTAGGTTGTTGATGTCACAAGAGTGAGGCCTTCTGGGAAACTTAGCAAGCTGCCCATGCACCTAGGAGCTGTAGGTTTAAAATGCTATTCTGCTTCAGATTGTGTGGCTTTGCTGGCTAACCCCTCTTTGGTAAGTGTGCCACAAGACAAGCTCAAAATATGAGGAAACACATTAGTCTTCATTGCACAATAAACGAAACACGCCAATATGCTACACAGCTCAGTTTCAGGTTTCCTTGTTAGTATACAAAGCCCTTAAAAACTTGTGAGCCAGTGTGGTGTAGTGGTTCAGAGCAGTGGACTCATAATCTGGTGAACCGGGTTCACGTCCCTGCTCCTCCACATGCAGCTGCTGGGTGACCTTGGGCTAGTCACATTTCTCCGAAGTCTCTCAGCCTCACTCACCTCACAGAGTGTTTGTTATGGGGGAGGAAGGGAAAGGAGAGTGTTAGCCACTTCGAGACTCCTTAGGGTAGTGATAAAGCAGGATATCAAATCCAAACTCTTCTACTTTAGAGACCACAGTTTATGCATCCCCCTCAGACACTGTAGTCATTGTGAGATACTCAATAGTAGAGCATCAGCTTTGCATACCATTCCCAGAATCACCAGATAAGACTGGGACAGAAACCTGACTGAAATCCTGGGGAGCCACTCCCAGTCAGTGTAGATACCAAGCGTGGAGAATTTTTGGCCCTTCAGAAGTTGCTGAACTGCAACTGCCTACTTCCCTGGCCTTTGGCCATGCTTACTGGGCCTGACAGGAGCTGTAATTCATCAACCTCCAGAGACCGCCCCCCACCTCACCTGAGGGAGACAATACTAAGCTGGAGGCCCCAATGTGTCTGACTCAGTATAAAGTTCCTTCCAGTGTTCCTGACATCTCTCCCTGATCACCGGGAACAAGGTATTAAGTGTTGAAGCACCTGCCTTGAGGAATTCCCTCCTTGTTTATACCAGGCAAGTGCCAACCATCGTCCTCTTTAGAGACTTGTTCAGTACCTGTTTGTTCTCACAAGCCTTTTTCTGAAGTCTGACCCCAGTTCCCACTACCATTGATCAATGTGACTTGAACCTTTTATTTTGCTTTAGCTCTTATTTTGCTTTTTAAAAATGTTGTTCCCTGCCATGGTATTTTCCTATAGGAAGCAGTATTTCTGTAGATATTTGTACAGTGAATAAACATTCCTTGCCTTGGGGTGCCTTTGCTTTCAGTCTACTGACTTGGCAGCTGTGGAGCATCCTCAGAGGCAGACAGGAGGTGGAACGTCTTTTGAAACGTACATATGTAAAAAATGTGTGTATGTTTGTGTCTCACTGTGATCCTGAACCATATAGTTCAGTATGGCTGCCATTCATGGTGAGGAGATACTAAGAGATCTGGGCCAGGCTATTACAGCATACTATTTAAAGCCATTCTCTCCTCATTAAAATCGGGTTGTTAGAGCAAACAAAATGTACAGTATTGGTTATTATTATTATTATTATTATTATTATTAAAAATAAAACTTTGAATGTACGGCATCCACCTCACACTTTCCTTATAACTAAGCTATTCTTCCCTTTGATTTCCTTTGGAAACGCTACATGGAAAAATAAGGAATGCATAAAACATATCATTTTTCAAAGGCTCCTCTTTAGAGGCAATTCCTATTTGACAAGAAGCCTATCAGGAGTTGGCGGGGGGGGGGGAGAGAAATCATCCTAAGGGACAAGCCAGACATTTTTTTAATACAAGAGATAACGAAAGCTTTGAACTCGGGGCAGCTGAGAAATCAGTTTGAAGCAGATTCTCTTGCAAATTCTTCCCAACAGCTTATGTAAGATGTGATGAGGAGCTAAGTGAGCACGTAGAAGCATGCGCTCTCCTTTGTGGAAGCTGAAAATCCTTTTTCAAACGCCAGCCTTTGTAAAGTGGTATAAAACAGCATTCCAGTAAAGAAAGAGTATACAAGAGACACTGATTGGGGATATGCATTACAACTATGTCTCCCCTGCAAAGGGAAATAAAAATTAAAGCCCCTTAATTAGGCAATCCAGATTCTGCACCAAGGAAAGCAAAACCCTGCAACCTGCATAAATTATGTGCGTTTGGAAAATTTGCACAGTGTTACTTTATCATATGCTGCTTTTTATTATTCTTTTTGCACAATGTAACTGAGATGTGCCTCTCATTCAACTGTCACCAGGCAGTAACAGTTCCACCAGGGATAGAGAGAAAGAAGCAGAGCTTTTACTTAAGTCAGGGGTGCCCA